GAGACAGTCCTTACAGAGAGAAGATCTTATTTCTATTCCATTTGCAGACACTGAATTACTCCACAACAGACAAGATCAAGTTGAGGCCCTGAATCTCATCCAACACAAGTGAAATAAAGTGCCTAAGCACTTTATCCCAAATTCCTGATCTGTTATGTGTTATTCTGAACAATTTAAGCATATCATTCAAGTTTCAGACACAATCAAGTAGAAGCTTACATGTTAAAAATGGCAACCATGCTTAATGAAGGCCATGTCTGAGGATCTGATCTAATTAACTAAGATATTAAGAAGCTATTTCGTCTTCAAATAATGAAGATACACTTACAGGAATTTTGCTCATCATGGGCCGGTAACAAGAATTCAGGGGAATAAAAAACCCAGTGTTTGAGCTTTCTGTATTCTCTCTGGAAACACTTCTTTGTTTTCAGACAGCTTTCACTGCTTTCTGATTTTCATCTTTCCCTTCTCAACTGCCATAGCAACTATTACAAATATTTACGTGCGACAAATACTGGCACAGAGCGGCATTCTTTCCTCTAGTATTTCTGAAGCACTGTCACCAAAGCAGATGATGCTTTGTCATGCATGGACTACCTGCTGTTTACACCTCTGCAGAGCAGGTGTTAAACAAGTTACCTCACAGGTCTGGGCAGYGTTGGCAGCCTGCCAAGACTGATCTGCTCACAAAAATCGGCTTTCCTTTTGCTTACCTCTCTCGCTGGCCAAAGTCGACCTTTGCGAGAGTTACAAAAGAATTGTGTCACTCTTTACTATAAGCAGTTATTCGCTACTGGGCATTGTTTTCTGCAAATACCAGCATTTTGAAGCTTTTAGTACATGGTAGAAGAACTCCTTTAAGAAAGAGTTGATCTGGTGTTGCTTAAGGGATGTGCAAAACTGAGGTTCTTGTCATGAAGACTGCTCTGTCGTCGGGGAGCCAGAAAGTGAAGCTTTGATAGACGGACAAGTTCTTGGAGCTAGACAAGGTGGCAATTCCTTTCCCCCTCCTTGGTAAGCCTTTTGCTCCCTCTGTTATGCCTTCTCTTCACATTTCTCCCCAGGCAGGGMAGGGAAGGAGCTCCTACACTTCCAAGGAGGTGCACAAACTCCCTTTCCTACCCCGCTTAGGTCATTCCTCTCCCTCACCTATGTATCTGCTATTCCGCTTTCACTGCTGCTGCTGCCTCCACTCATCTGTTCYGCAGGCTTTGGAAATCCACTCTGTGACGAAGCCTCACACCATTTCTTTCTTTCTCTCTCTACCAGGCAACTTCCCCTGCTACTGGGCAGGCAGAATCCCTCACTGTGCTGCAAAACACATTGCAGTGTGGCTTGCCCAAGTCAAATACGAACAGGAAGTGCTCATTTTACAGACGTGAAAAGACAGCCTGTTGTAAATGCTGCAGCACTGAGCAATGACTTTCTGTGTTGGTCAGCAAACCCACCACGTGAAATACTGCAGAACCTGGTCCTTACGCTTGCTATTGAAAAGTTACACATCCTTTTAAAAGCCAATATGAGTTTGTGCTCCTGTACCCCTACTCAGATCCCAAATCTGGTCCATCCTCAAAACCATGTGCAGCTGAAAGGGCACTAACAAGCCCCAGCTAAGTGCCYCCAGACCAACATCAGCGGCCATGAAGCTCCCAGGCCCAAAGGCCTGTACCCGGCCTGCTTCAAGCAACGGCTGAAATCTTGAAATGTCTTCATCAAACAGATAAGGCTTGAAGCTTCATCAGCTTAAATAGTGCTTGGTACATAGAAAAAGGTAACGTTTAAACCAGGACATTTACAAATTAAATTAAAAGACAACTGAATGAAAGGCAACTAAGCCAAAAGCAGGACACAGGCACTAAGTCAAATCCATGTCAGAAAATGTTCAGTACCAGTCACAGGTCAAGGCCTCCTAGCTCCGGGTCACTGACTGACTCCTCATTCAGGCTCATAGCACAAGTATTGGAAGGCTCGGAAAAATAACAGCTTAATGCATACACAATAAACATATGTCTTGCTCCTTATTATGGAGCTTCTAGAGAGGAAGCTTCGTGGAGCTTCTAGGGAGAGTCCAGTGGAGAGAGAAAAGGATGATTAAGGGACTGGAGCATCTCTCGTATGAGGAGACACTGAGTGAGTTGAGCCAGTTTAGCTTGGAGAAGAGAAGGCTGAGAGGGGATCTGATTAACATGTATAAGTTCATGAACGGAGACTGTAGGGAGGAAGGGGCCAAGATCTTCGCAGTGGTGGCCAGTGACAGGACAAGGGGAAATGGGTATAAGTTGAAACACAGGAAGTTCCATCTCCAGGTGAGGGAGAACTTCTTTACAGYGAGGGTGACAGAGCCCTGGAACAGGCTGCCCAGGGAGGCTGTGGAGTCTCCTTCTCTGGAGGTCTTCAAAACCCGCCTGGATGCCGCCCTGTGTCACATACTGTAGGTGTCCCTGCTCGAGAAGGGGGGTTGGACTAGATGGACTAGAGGTCCCTTCCAACCTTAAACATTCTGTGTGATTCTGTGCAATTATTTTAAATTCTTTTTATCTAAACTGGTTGGAATGTGCCTATTCACAGCACTGTGGACCACGCTTCCCAAACACTGGCAGATTTAATACCAAAGGAAGAAGAAGCAAGTGCTAAACTCAAAATTTACAGAAGCATGGAAACTACCACATGTCACAGGGAACCGCCCCCATCACCACCAMCAACAAAAACACATCAAAATAGGACTCTGTTTTGGGTATGGTGTCCCAAACGGCAAACCACAAGGTTCTCTAGCCCCTGATTATAATATATAAGCATAATACCTGAACACTGAACTAATGGTTAGCACTAATATGCTGCTTTCATCCCTTTCTCCGTATTTGCTGTATAGCACCAAAATTATCTTCACAATTGATTTAATCTTTCACATGGGAAAACGGATTGTTTCTCTTTTACAAAGTCACACAGTGAGACAGTGGCAAAGAAGCCCAGGATCCAATCAAGAAAATTTTAACAGAYGCAAATCTTTGTCTTAAAGATCTCCAGTCAGATGACAGTTATATGTAACCCAAGCTTTGAATATCACTTCATCTGTTAGGCCAACTCTGAAAGCACACCTAGCTACCAGTAGGCTTAAAAAAGAAGTTTCACACACTGGGTAGGGACAATTATGTTTTAAAAGTCATTTGTTACAATAATAATAGCAATAATAATAATAATAATAATAMWWYAWWAAAAAAAAAAAAAAACCTTGAACTTCGGAGACTGTGACAGAGCTAGGGAACCAGGAGCACTTCCCAGATCCAGCCCATTTTGGCACATGCACCAAATGCCATCAGCACATATAAAATGCAAACTTAGAAAGATCTATGATGGCTTCATGGCAATTAGGAACAAGTGTTAATATTTCTGAAGACTAACACAGCCTATTGCCTGGTATAGCATATCAGAGGCCACAGTTCAATTGTTGACATTTCAGCCACAATGTTTTCAATGGGCTTGCAGCCTAAGACATGCCTTGCTAGAAGTGTCATCTCCCAGAGARCTTGCCAAAGGCAAGGGATGAAACTTGGGTGATATTTTAGTATCTTTGATAAAGCCAGCTARTAACTATCTAAGTTCACCTTGTCTGCAACTAGAAGGACAAATAAGTCAGTCAGTTCTGGACTCCTGCCAATGCTTTTCTTCTCAGATCAGCAGAGGGATTCATCCAGCACTTCTTTTCCAGAGACRTCTCTTGGCTGCTAAACCAAGTCTGGAAATTTGAATCCATTCATGAACTCAGATTTCCCATGCGGCAAAACACCATGCCTCAAACTGCCCCACTAGCTCTAGGAAGCCATGTACATTGTCCTTAAACTGGCACACATCACCACAGCTTAGGTTACATATGGCAAAGTTTTGTCTGTACTATCCAGTAACAGGAGCGGTTGTCAGTTCCACGAGGTGTATCAGGACACTATATTAAGGACTTCAGAAAGAGAAAGCTTAAACTGAAGGAAATGAGCTAAACCAAAAAAATCTACAGGGAATTTATGTCATAGGAACCACTAGCAGTTCATCTGTAAGTACGTATTTATGTGTTACAACATTTCATCCCTATTAAAAAAAAATCCTTTAATATGTTAAAATATGAGATGTTGTCACACACTTCTGAAAGTCCATGTACCTCTCAACTCCTTTTTTTTCCCCAAAAAATAATTTGCAAAACATCTACATGTTATATCTTAATTATCTTCCATTCATTATTTTTCTGTTTAGAAAAGAAATAGAAGAAGTAAACATTGTATAATATTCTATCTGAATAGGCTATTAAACTTAGTAGAGTGACTGCTAGGGAGGGCTACATCTTRTTTTCTGATTTGTCATGGGGAAAGAACACAGCAGTAGTGTGCACTTCCAGAGCACACACAGTAACCCTGCTAAAGACTGTGCTCAAAATACTCATTTATTGCTGTGGGTTGCCACTGTATGACTGTTACATACAATTCTCACTGAAATCAGGGAAAATGAAGAAATTTTAATACAATTTTTTCTATTGTCATTTATCAGCTGCCCGTCAGTAAAATAGTGTTTGTGATGTCTTAAATAGCTTGTGAATGTGATGGTGAAAAACCTTCCCAAAGAGCTCTAACTTTCTACAGAGTTGCTAAATCCTTAAGAACTACATACGTGAAATTAGATATATGCATGTACTGCTCTGCTGAAATATTTTTCCCAGTTTATCTGACCCTTTTATTAAAAATACAAAATGTAAACTGTTAATTGCTATTTGCTAAGGAAAAAAAAAAAAGAAAAACAGTTGTGTTTCAGGAGGTCTTAGATAATATATGCATGAGACTCATGAGACTTTCACTTATTCATCCATTCCTATGGATGTATTATCATCTCATATAAGCACATAAAAGGGGGCTGACATTGCCCCCTGGGATGCAAGCTCTTCAGGACCTATGACACTGACCGCAGTCACAATCATTCCGTGCAGTTATGTTCAGCAACACATGGTCAAAACTGCAACTCACCTTCTGCATCTTCCGGCCTTGTAAGATCAATGACACCAGGGCCCAGTTTTCCATCTTCGCTGGGTTTCCCTGTTAACTGCGGGCCTAAATTTTCAAACCTTGATCTTTCCTGGAAAAGAACAGAAGTATTCTTAATGCTTCACATAATTTTAACGACGTGCCTATGCATGTATGTATGCACAGATACATGCCTTATTTTTTAAATCTGAACAGCCAAAATGAGTATATTTAATTAGAAATTTAACTAGGACAAAGTTTCACAGGTTCTGAGCATTCACATTCATGAAAATCAGTTTTTAATGTGAAAACATACACAGAAACTCTGAAATTATTTAGATCTGAACCTCCATAATGCATAAGTGATTGTACATGCAAACAAGAAACACTCTTGGCAGGAAAACAGTGCTGATCTATGCTGCTCACTGTCTTTCCACTAAATTTTCTAACTTAAACTGGGAAAAAAAATCTTTTGGGAAACATGAAAATTCAAAAGTTGAAAAAAGAGTTGGTATACCGCTAATTTAATGGAAATGCACTTTTCCCCATCATGAGATTCAGCTTTGCATTTGTATCTCTGAGAAAATATGAGTCTGAATTTTATGCAAGACATTTTCAAAGGAAAATGTTTGAAAGAAGGAATACTGGTACTATTATTTTGTCTGGGAATTCATATCTTACCTCAGTGGAAAGGGAACCTCTATGTAATGAAAGTAAAGGAAAAGCAAAAAGGAAAAGCAAAAAGAAAAAAAAAAAAGAGAGCAAGTGTATACTCCTAGAAAAACATATTGCTTTTGAGATTTGAATACCAGCATGGGAAAGTTGGAACCGGAAAGGGGAAACTGAAGTGTATTTCACGTGTTAACCCAATTCTTCAATCAACTTCTGGACGAGGGCACCACAGTTGACAGTGTAACACTGTCTCACAATAGTAGTCTCTGTAGTACTCTGTATCAGTAGCTAAGCATTCAATGGTTATCATTAATTTAGCGTTCTCATTTGAAAGAACATAACATGTTTTCCCTCTTGCCTTGTTGTTACCTCTTCAGACTAAACTTGGCATTATGTTGTACTTGTGAATGAATAAAACCTTGTTGTTCATTACTATGAAACAATATTAAATGTCATGTCAGCTTGAATTTACAGACATGAAATACCAGCTTTCAGCTCTACGAACAGTTTCTCCATGTTATACTTAATGCATTATGCAGAAGAAGAGTGCTGATTGCTGTTCAGCCTATTGTTCAATGACCTAGTTCTGTACTGAGCATGCTAGTAGTAAGAAGAAAGGATTACAAGTTTGCCTCCTGCAAGATGTTAAGAACTTGGAAATGTTCTTAAGGACCAAACATGCTTGATGGCCTTGGCTCCTCACCTGCTCCACCTCAGAATGTTTTGGCTTTCTAATCTGATTACTTTTAGATTGTCACTGTATTTCAGTGAGGAAACCCCATGAGTCAAACCATTCAGGATTTTTTATTGATTTCCCCAAACATGGATCTTTTTCTTTTCCTTTTTYTCTTTTTTTCTGTTTTTATTTTTGATTTGAAGAGGAAGAAAAGGAAGCACAGAACTGACRCCGGATTTGCTACAACATGCAACTTAGGCATTTCAGGTACTAATTGTATCTCTAAAACTTTCTCAGAATCTTCCAGTCATCTAACAAAAGAACTCTGCATTTTCTATTTGGTTAACTTTTTTTTTTTAATTGTATTCTAAGAAATCTGTGGTCGATAAGGAACTTAAATATACACAGAAATTCATGTGAAAAGAAAGAGTTACAAATAAAATGTGACTGCAGAAAAGCACAATAAAATTAGAGGCCTAATACTGTACTGAAAGCTTTTRTGCAATGTAACAACACACCTGAATCATCTGTTCTACTGGCAGACAGAATATAAAATAAGTTTGTCAAGGATTCTGCGTTCCACTGCAAAGGATTGATTTGCAGTTGAGATACAAACAAAGATCACTACTAAGAAAACAGCTTTTGGCACATATATTGTCTCTTCCAAAATATCAGCACTAAAAGCTTTTTCTTAAGGATGTTAGCACAGCACCTGCAATATTCTTGGAAGAACAGTCTTTAAGTGTGGCTTAGAAAGAGACATCCTTTCTGCTATAAAAATCAACAGACTCTGCTACATATCAATATGCACATTTGAAATATCTTTCTAGTCATTCATTCTCTTTGATTTTACCAGAAAAAAATCTGTTAAAGAAGRAGGAAAAAAAAAAAGAAAGTTTCTCAAAGAATATCAATATTTTGACATGGAAGGAGAAAAGGGAAAATTACATGATAAGGTTTAGGAACAGTAAAATGAAAGCACTTATGCCATAAAAATACCTGCTCTTGCCMAACAAAGAAAATGTACTCGTGGTTATTCAATAACTCACTCCTCCTAATTTATAAAACCTTGAAAAAACTAACTGTATTTAAATCTTTGAAAGGCTTTTTAAGAAATTTCTTTGCTTCATTTTTTACTGAAAATAATCTTCACAGTGTTTGTAAAAAAAATTCAATATTGGTATAAGGATTAGACAATTTCAAAAGAAATGTAAAAAAATGATCCTCAATGCTAAGGATCTTTCTATCTAGTAGAGGTCTTTAAAATTCATCAGAATGTAGCAAATTCATATGTAATTTATTATTAGAGAGGAAACTTGTCCCATTAGGCTCTAATCCTTACCATTTTATAGGATTTGTCTTTACTCCCCTGCCTTGAGTTCATCCTAAAGCAATTAGTTGTTCAAATTAATATTCCTTTAATATTATACCTTTTCCCTAATACAAACAACAGACACACCATCATTAAAAGTAAATGCCTATACTTAGATACACTAACAAATACGTTTCCTACACACGCATTGCATTTGCACACATGTACACAGACTCGTACACTGCTACCTCCCGGACCTGCAGCCCTAGGAACTCAGACTATTTAACACTTCCTCAGAGCTGTTTTGGCGAGTGCGCAATTAAGTGCATCTCTACCGACACTGCTGGTGTTTTGCTTCCTATCTGAAAGTCCTCTGGATGCAGACTGTGAGCTACTTCTCRCAGTGGCTCAGCACCCGACGCTGTGCAGGCGCAGCCAGCTTCCCCATGCAAACAGCAGAGAAAGGGCTCAGAGCGGGGCGCTGACAACCTCCTCTCCTCCGACTAGACCAACACGGTCAGTGAGAGGCTGCGCGCACCGAAACCACTAAGCTCTCCCGGCACAGTGCAGATCCTTTGTGCTTCTGCAATTAATACAGCCCTTCTTTAAAATCAAAAGAATAAAAAAAGTCTTGTTTACAGCCAAATATTAATTTTCCATTCTGTGATATGATTAGGCACTTATTTATGCGTTGTCAGTCACAAACATGCAGAAAACGTAAAAGTTATTGAAAAAATTAAAGTCTGCTCCACTGTCTTGCAGGACTGTTGGTTCTCTAAGTGCTTTGAAATTATGATGTATGAGGTGGATGTTGCATATTAAATAAAGATATTTAAATTATAAAGCCCCCGTTAGTGAGAGCTGATGAATGTTAAATGTTACGAGCCACAAGGCTGCCGCATCCATCATGTTCACGTACTATCGCAGGCAATGGATGGAGCAGCCCCAGCGATGACAGATAGACTGCCACATAGTTATCCTTTATTTGCAGAGTCGCCAAGCAAGCCCATCAACCTCTGGGCTTTTTTCTTTCTTTTTTTTCCCCTTTTTTCCTTTTCTTTTTTTAAAGAAAAAAAAGAATTAAATAAGCAACTTTTTCTTCATATTCTTGCCAAACATATCAATTCTTTTTTAATGTGCAGAAGGCAAAAGCATGATTTAGTAAAGTGAGGAGAAAAGGCAAAGGAAGCAGGAGCCCTTTCTTCTGGAAAAGCTGCAAACTTCAAATGCCTAGAAACAAATATTAAATTGTGATCTTGTGAGAGAACAGCAATGAAAACAGTAAGCGCACAATAATGGCTTTTCTCTGCACTTAGATAAAAGCTGAATTTTTGATGTGCACAGTATATTTTCATAAAATTTTATATACTATGTTTTATACACTTATTGGCTATTCCATAATAATGTGTGTGCTAACAGTAAAATTGCTCTTAAATTTATGTGTGTTATTTATATGTTCCCACGTAACAATGCTTTTTGTTGTAAAAAATATTCTGTTTATTAATGTAACTTTACAACCACTGCATCTAAGATCCGTGGTAAATTAATGACGTTTTTATTATTTTATAGTGTCATTAAATTTTTACTGATCACTCCATCAAACAGAAGCAATAAAGGCCATAATGCAAACTGGGACACTTAGATCAGGGGAGCAGGAAGGCATTCCATATAGTCTGAAGTAAACGGCTTGCTATAAATGATATTTATACCATCTTTAAGGATGTGAGAATACTTGGACAAGTTTGGCAAAACTGTTTCTGTAGTGCAGTGGATTGTGTACTTAAATAACAGTTTACTTGCCAGCAGGACGATTTTTTTTCAAACCATATGCGAGAAGATGACTGATTGCATCCATCTCTTGAAAAATAATATACAAAATGTAATAATACGCTGGGCACCCCTCCCTTCTGGATTACCAACACTGATCCGACTATACCCATGCCTCAAATTATTTCAACATGCTTGCTTTTTCCACATCTGAAATGTATGCTTAGACTGAAATGGAAAATGGCATGCTCACTGATCGTTGTGTGAAAGATTAAAAAAAAATATATTTATATATATATATACATATTTTACAAACAAATACATTTTATTTAAGTAGACATGTTTGGACAATGATGTAATACCTTTTCTTTCAGTAGTCTATCTTGGAAGCAGTTACCAACATTCATTTTAAAGAGTCAGTTTCTCGAAACTGAGTTCCTATGGGTCATGCACAGAAGCCACAGCACATATGTCTGAAGGGATATTATTTCTTTTGAGGACAGTATTTTAGCCTGTATGACTGCAAACAAGTATCATGTGTTGTCTTTATGTATAAAATAATTTCAATCGAATTATTCCCTAATAAATGTTCTAGTGCCTTATTTGTAAATGTGACCTATTCTGTTTACCTACTGTGGGCAGGAAACAACAAGCAGAAAAATTCCTATATTCAAAACTACAAAAG